GATAGATCACAAATTTATACATGGAAAAGAAAAAAGAAGAAACCATACAAGTAGTACAAGAAACCATATGAAAATTCTTATATTATCTCAGAACAAGATTAGTCTTTCTAATTATGACACAAAACCAAAGTCATGGAAAAGACTGCTAAGTTTCACTACATTAAAATTATTTTCATGCCAAAAACCATTATAAGCAGTGCCAATTAGCAAAGGACACACTAGAAAAATGAGTTAAAACTTGTATCACAAAAAGGGCTAACTTCCCCACTATACACAGTATCCCTACAAATCAAAAAGAGGAAAAAGACTGACAAAGGATATAAACACACAATTCAACAGGAAAGGAAATACAAATATAGCCATTAAATATAAAAAAATGCTCACAACTCTATTCATAAGAGAAATGCAAATTAAAACAACACTGAGATACCATTTTTCACCTATTGATTTACAAACATCAGAAACTTTGATAATATATAGAATATGTTGGGGAGTGTGTGAGGAAACAAGCACTCTTACTTGCTGGTGCAACCTCTAAGGAGGACAATTAGAAGTCCAAATGGCAAATGTACATACCTCTTATCTAGCAATGTCATCTATAGGAATTTGCCCTTTGGATATACTCACACATTTGAAAAGTGAATTCTGTAAAAGGATGTTCATTTCAGTAATGCTTGGGATAGCAAAAGATTGTAAACAACCTAAATGTTCATCAGTAGGGTGGCTGTCTAAATAATGGTCAACTAAAGGAATCCCATGAGGTCTAAAGAATAATGATAAAGTTTATGTATTTTAACATGAACTCATCTCTAGGATATATTGTTATATGAAGAAACACAACAAATTCATGGCATTAGTTGCTTGTGATGAGAAGAACTTTTCTTATTCTTTTAGATAATTTAATTACAGAAGATTTTTTATCTTTTTCTTAGAGTCTCAGAACATTCTTTAAATTACTAAAACAATTCAATTTTTGTCTTGGTTATGCATTCCATAGAATTAACAGAGTATAAAGAAAGCATTTCATTACTTCTCAGCTCCTCATTATTAGTTCTATTGCCTATTTTATCTGTTATGGCTATTGGTCTTAAGTGGGCATCTGAGTCTAGCCAGGCCAGTTAACAATCCATCTTAGAAATTTCAACTTGGGACTGACAGTCAGTTTGTTTCAAAGCTCAGAAGCAGTCAGTGGCCACATTTTCTGCCACTTAACCAGAAAAATGGAAAAATCCAGCTATAAAAGAGAGAATGGGCTGGGCGCGGTGGCTCACGCCTGTAATCCTAACACTCTGGGAGGCCGAGGAGGGAGGATTGCTTGAGGTCAGGAGTTCTAAACCAGCCTGAGCAAGAGTGAGACCCCGTCTCTACTATAAATAGAAAGAAATTAATTGGCCAACTAATATATATACAAAAAATTAGCCGGGCATGGTGGCGCATGCCTGTAGTCCCAGCTATTTGGGAGGGTGAGGCAGTAGGATCGCTTGAGCCCAGGAGTTTGAGGTTGCTGTGAGCTAGCCTGACGCCACTGCACTCACTCTAGCCTCGGCAACAAGGCAAGACTCTGTCTCAAAAAAAAAAAAAAAAAAAGAGAGAGAATGAAGGTGTGCAGAGAAGCTGAGCACAGAGTTAGGAAGTCAAGTGCTCAATCCCAACTCTTGAGTCCAGTCACATCCTTGTCTTCGAGCCCAGTGACACAAGCCAGACACCTTATAATAAATAGGCTGGTTCAAACTGAGTTTCTGATACCTGCACCCAAGTCAGTACTGATCCCACTGCATATTGCAACTGTCTGACCACAGCCTACCTTGCTGGCTTCATTTCCCAGTGTTCTGACCACATGTCCATTCTCCCACATACCTACACTGGCCTATTAGCTATTCTCTCCAAATTCAATTCTACTCTGGAGCCTTGCAGTGCATTCACCCAGGATTCCTTTCCTCCCCAAGTGACATGGAGAATGCCTGACATCTACCTCAAGATGCAGCATAAATGTCCCTCCTTTGGGTGGCTTTTTGATGCTCCCCTGCATGCAAGTCACAGACCACTCCATTCTCTGTGCTCATTGTCCTTTGCATGATATGTGCTTCTTTGATTACATTTATCACATACTGTAGAATTCCTATTTGCTTATGTATTTTGTAAGTTCTTTAAGGACAGAGTCCTATTCTTCTATGTAGCTCCACTGCCTAACACAACTGGAGAACACATGGCAATAGTTGATAAATGACTGATAAATCAGGTTATTCAAACAAATCAAGTGAATTAGCCCTTGCCACACAGCCTCTGGCAAATTTGCCCCCAAAAGACACGACCAACTTATTGCCTTAATATCTAAGGGAGCAGTCTTTCATGAATAACGTAATTTTGTATTTGAACACCAGAGTAACTTATATGTGAAATAAACTGATCAATGGAAGCAGTATCAACTTTAGAGGCCCCCAAAGCCCCAGTCCTCTAGGACCTAAATCAGTAATTGCAATCTTACACCTGAGATATACGTCATTTTTTCTTTCCCATAATTCTCTCAGTTTCTCATTCCACTGAATCCTTTTACTTCTAGATACATGTCAATCACTCTTATAGTATCTGCCATTTCACTGAAGCATTCTTGAACAAGTTGGGATACTAAACCACACAAACACAAAAGCTACCCTATCAGCTAACTTTAGTAGTGACCTCAAATGTATAAAGGAAAATAAATCCAATGGGTTGGATTTTATTTGTTGTTTTTAAAAATGTTATATATATTGTCTGGAAACCAGGGAAAAAAAGAGATTCTTTGTTTTATTTTATACTCCACCCAGTAACCAAAGGAAATAAAAAACAAAAACAACACAAATTCTTTGTGGTAAAGCTGGTTTATTGAACTTCATGGAGGAAATGTAACATTGACACTATTTCATACCAAAACTTAACTTTACCTTAGATCTCATGAGGAAACGTGTATTAGCAATATACTTCCAATAAAGCATTGCCATTAATAGCTTACTACATTAGATTCTGCGGTAGTTTCCTTTGGTGTTTTCAAATTAAGACCTTTCCAAAACATATCTGATATTTCCAATTAAAGGTCATAGTTAAAACAAATTCACACAGATTTACAAAATGGTATGATCTGTGCTTTAAAATGCTAATAATTATTTGTTAGTCACCATTTTGGAAGTGATTTGTCAACAGTTAATGAAATATTTTATAAATATTTTGGAATACATCTAAAAGCCTTATCCCCATTCAACTGATGAGTATGTTCTTTTTAAAAATAAAAACATACATATAAAAAATTAAAACAAATTGTTACAAATGAGATACAAATATTTTAAAATTAATAAATATTAAAGTGAAAAAAATAAGCCCTTTCACAAAACTGTAAAGAATACTACTAACTTCTTAAAAAAAGAAAGTTAAATTAATTTTTTTGAACCATAGTAACTAGTAAAAAAAAATATGCTTGGAAAGTCTATACATTTTTTTATCCCACTTTAGAAAATGTTTTGAAAAGCAATAAACAGATTCCCTTCTTTAGAAAAACTGTTACACCCATCACAATTACTATAGCTGTTATTATTTTACTACAAAAATAGTTACAAATCAATGTTAATTTAGATAAAAGTAAAAGTTTTTAATTTTTAATTCCAGCGTGATTAAGAAAAGTGGATTAATCTCCCTAAATGCAAATAAAGCCAATGTGAGCACTAGTATTTAAACTGAATAATAACCTCCTGTAATTATTACTTTCAATTCGTTCACTTAATATAATTATTTTGTCTTTATAGTTAAATTATCTAGTTAGGACTATCATTATAATGATTAAACAAAAATCCTAAACTGGATTGGATTATAGATTTTATTTCCCACTTTCTGAAAATTCTGTAAGTACAATCATCTTCTGGCTTAATTTCCTCTAAAATTATCAAGTACAGCAATCTATCAGAATTGTTAAGTGTGTACACTTCAGTTAAAGTTCATGGCTTACATTCCATTTATGTAAATAGCTGCATGTGCAAGCTTGCTATTTTCTATGTGCAAAGTCTTACATTCAAAATAAAAGTAGGGTAAAAAACTTCTTGAAATATTCTTTCCATCACTGAGGAATAGACAAGGTATTTTTCAATATCTAATTTATTGTTCATACTGAGGAGGAATAGCTTGTTGTGACCATAAAATGTAAACAGTTAAAAAAACTGATACAACACAATACTATTACAGAAATACATGTAGACTCATAACAATTAGTGTTAGACCCTCAGAGGTATAATCCAAATGGATGTTAATTTGTTCATTCAGCATTTAGTCATTAAATTGATGGAGGTGAGGGGAGAGCAAGAGATACCATGCCAAATACACAGTTTGAAATTACTAAAAGCTAAAAACAGTCTCCTGTGGTAGCTAGGAACAAGGTTTACCTGTTTTCTCCTAAGTTACAACTCCTCAAATGCTTTTAATTACTTTTTCACTGTTTAAAGATATCAAAATAAAATATAAAGTACCTTTTTTTTTTTAAAGTACCTTTTTATGTCACTTCATTTGCCTTAAAATTTCTCTTATTTTTGCACATTTTAATAGAACTTAGTAAGAAAACAATACAAATTACTCTTTTAAAAATAAGAATGATTTTTATAGACCTGATTGATATTAATAAGAAATATCAAGTTGGGCATGGTGGTATGCACCTGTAATCCCAGCTACTCAAGAGGCTGAGGCAGGAGGATCACTTAAGCCCAGGAGTTTGAGACCAGCCTAGGCAACACAGCAAGACCCCTGTGTCCAAAAAAAAAAAAAAAAAAAAAAAATCAAGTATCTAGAACATTGGAAAAGTCATTCTTTATGGACTGAGAACCAGAACACATTGTAGGCCTTCTTATCCCACTGGAAAATAAAGTCTTGGCTCTAAATATATACCAATAATAACACAATTAAATATTCTAATAAAACAAATAATGGCATATGACTGTAGTCCCAGCTACTCAGAAGGCTGAGGCAGGAGGATTGCTTGGGCCCAGGGTTCAAGGCAAGTCCAGGCAACATAGTGAGACCCTGTCTCTAATAAAAAACAAAACCAAAAAATCCCCCCCAAAACCAAAGAACAAACTCCATGGAGAGGCAGATACTAGTTTTTACCCTATTGGGAACACTTCCCTTTCAAAGGACATTCAAAGGTGTGTACTAAACACTTGATATTTTTTTCAATCCCAGGAACACAGGATTGAATAGTTACTGACTCAAAATCTCATCATGCTCTCATTCAAAGCCTCCTTCATTGGGCAATGGAGAGATGTTCTGATTCATCCTATTTGCTTCATTTTCAATCTTACCTGAAAACCAACATTTTCCTTGTGTTGGCCCAGTGACAAACTTAAGTAGATACAAAATACAAAAGTAAGCATGACAATGATAAATGGTAAAGTGTCAGGACGATCCATTATAGTTGAGTTAAATCTTATGACTTATCACTGTCATACTTCAAAAGTGTTTCTTTAGTCAAAATTAGATAGTATAATGAAGACTGTTATTTAGCACCAGCACGTCATTGCAGGCTTTGGTTCAGGCTTCAGAATAATTCCATTATCAGGGGGTTGACTAAGCATTAATGGTTTGTGGCTCTTAAGCTTATGAGCCAACGTCATAAATATAGCTTCCACGTGGTCATTATCATTGGGGTTTTTAGCAGAGGTTTCAAACAAAGGCATACTGTGTGTGTCAGCAAATTTTTGTGCCAAGTCTGTGGGTACCTGAATGGCACTTCTCAAGTCACATTTATTTCCAACAAGAATCCGTGGTATATCACTGGCTAGCAAATGTTGTTTGCATTCCTCTATCCAAGATGGCAGGCTGTGAAAACTAGCCATGTTGGTCATATCATACACGAAGACAACAGCATGTACATTTCTGTAGTAGTGCTGTACCATGCTCTTTCTGAATCGTTCTTGTCCTGCTGTGTCCCATAACTGGATCTGAAAATGAAAAAAAAAAAGAGGAAAACTAAACATTTCATTCCAAATATATATATGTTGAAAAATGTAATCACTTCGCAAGGTCTTTAGTATTTTTTTTTTTATTTCAGCATGTTATGGGGGTACAAATGTTTAGGTTACATGTGTTGCCTTTCTCCCCCCCCTCCCCCAGGAGTCAGAGCTTCAAGTGTGTCCCTCCCCCATACGGTGCGCATGGCACTCATTATGTATATATATAACCATCCCCTTCTCTCCCCCTCATCTGCCCGATGCCCGATAAATGTTTTTCCTATATGTCCACTTAAGTGTTGATCAGTTAATACCAATTTGCTGGTGAGTACATGTGGTGCTTGTTTTTCCATTCTTGGGATACTTTGATCCAGCAAACCCATTACTGGGCATCTACCCAAAAGAACAAAAGACACTATAAAAAAGACATCCGTACTCAAATGTTTATAACAGCACAATTCACAATTGCAAAGATGTGGAAACAACGCAAGCGCCTATCAATACGTGACTGGGTTAATAAAATGTGGTATATGTATACCATGGAGTACTATTCAGCTTTAAGAAACAATGGTGATTGGTAGTCAAGGGGTAATTTAAAAAAATGAAAAAATAAAAAATAAATTACAAATTAAAAAAAAAATAATGGTGATATAGCACCTCTTGTATTTTCCTGGATAGAGATTGGAAAAGGATATGAATAGACATTTCTTCAAAGATATATAAATGGCTAATAAGTACATGAAAAGATACATTAGTCATCAGGAAAATGCAAATCAAAACCACGATGAAATACTACTTTACATGTAGTAGGATGGCCATAATAAACAAGATAGACAATAACAAATGTTGATAAAGATGTAGAAAAACTGGAACCCTGACACACTGCTGGGGAGGATGTGTTAGAGGCAAGGACCCTCAAAGACCCTCAACTCCCCTATGACTTGTCCTACGCACGGGCCTCGCCCTAGAAAAATTCCTAGGACAAAAACAACACCCCACCCTCCAGCTATAGCTCCGAAAAGAATGCGTTCCAAAATGCTCCAGGGTGTGCTAACTGCAATTGTT